TTTTTTAAATTAAACTGAATAGGCAACAATGCAAAACCAGGCAAATGCCAACATACCTTAAGTTGTCAACCTATGGTTTTGTGAATATCATAGGTTGACAACTTAAGGTATGTTGACATTTGTCATTATTACCTGCTCAGTTTTAGTTTAAAAATAGATTTTTCCAGTTTTTCTTCAATTAGTTAAAATCAAATTGTCCAAAATTGTTCAAATTTGGCATGTGTATTCAGTATACACCGCAGACCAACAACCTTTAAACAACAACCACTATAACCTTTAAAAATCTATTTACGACTTCGCTGTAAAATCAATATTTGGACAGTTCAATATTTGCATGGAATTTCCTGTTTGCAACGCCGAGGCACTACCCGGTATGTTACAATTAAAAAGATCATGTTACAAATAACCGTCGGACCAAAGGAACCCTGTATATTTTGTCACCCTTCGGGCATTATCTTCTTAATATCACCGTTGGTAGATAAACAAATATTATAAATCTTGTTGCTAGGTAGAAATTGCATACATAGAAGTTAAAACGTTGCGGAGAATAAAAATTACGTACCTTTGAAGAGTTTTAATACAAATGCTTCTAAACAAACACCCACTTTATTATTGACCAAAATTTAATGTAAATTTTTCTTTAGTAATTTAATAAAAGCGAAAACAGAAACCTAAAAAATAATATTTTTCTTTATTTCTAAGCAGCATTCAAGGTTAAACGTCCAAGTCCATGCTGTCTGGTTCCTCTAATTCAACCATTAAAAATGTCATATCCGAGTAACAGTTATAATTTTCACGTTATTGTCCTAATGTGACGCGTAAATACGAGATGTTATTGAACCATTCTCGGCTAGAAAAAAAAGTTTAAACAGTTATTTTCAGTTTACTTTTCGTCGTCGTCGCTCTCAACCGAGTTAATGTCTGTAATTTGAGCTCGTTTAAGGTCAAAAACTTTGCTTTTGTTTCACAGTGACTGACCGCCGATAAATATTATCGTATTCGGACAAATTCCTCTACGGACTACTCTCAGTTCTTTTCGCTCGATTCTTGTTTCTCCCATAGCTACCATTCGCAAAGCGATTTATAGGTAACGGTTTTTAAAACTCGCATTAAAAAGCGCAATGGTACGGTCCAGTTTATAGCCGGTTTCAGTAAATCTTTATGTGGCGATAACAATGCTTTTCTATTGGGATCTATAATTTTCTATTACTAGAAATATATTTGGTATGTATAATTCTGACAAGTACGATGCCCTTAAGGTTTGTTTCAATAGTAACTATAAAGTTTCTTAGTTGATATTTGGTTTGCTACAACAGTAATTGAAGATAACAATAATGCAGTTACAGTATAATATATCTAAATAAATAAAACAGAAGTTTTATTTATACTGGGTGCGTCTCAAATGTGGCTCACCCCTATAACTGTTTATTTTTTCAGATAAAAAAACGAGATTTGGTATGTTAGCATATGACATAAGTTAGGATTGATTGACGTTTTCAATTGTGTTCGGTCACTTCCTCTTTCACCGGAAATGACTACTTTTGATTTTTAAACGGCACCCTCCATATTTTTTTACATTATTCGATAGCTATCTAAAGGATGCTGGAATAGATGCCTATTGGTTCGGAGTATTTAGTTTTCGGTCCAAATACTCCTATCCCTGTCCCTGTTTCAAAAAATCAGTGGCATCATAGAACACAAATTCAACAAAAAATACTAATAACATATTCAAGCCTAGAAAGGCGTTGAAATATGTAGAAAATACTGGAATGGAAATATAATAACAAAAATATAACGAACCTTGAATGATAACTGTCACAAATCCATTTGTCTCAGTCATTTAAGATCATTCGGCCAAACAATCATCCGCACCACAAGATTAGCAAAAAAACCTCACTTCACTGTTAGGTGGTATGAAGTTAGTAAGGCCAGCTGGCCCTCCAAAATAATTGGTCGTCCTTCATCTCCTACATATTAGTGATTTTTTATTGTTACCTACAATACTGTCGTAACATGCATTACAGTATTCTGAGTAAGGAGTGACGAAATGTCTGTCTAATGAAAAAAACACTGTCTAAACTCAAAAAAAGACGAAGCAAATGGCCTGTTTTAATTTGTTCCTCAAGGCTTATGCCATTATGTCCGTATTTTAATTATTAATACACAACATAATAGGTGATAAAAGTGAACAGTTACAGTATTTTCTGCGAATACAGACCATATAAAATATAATTTGAATTATTTTAACCCAGGGTTTATACCTAGTAGTTTATACTATGTTGTAACACATTGTATTTGTTAATGGTTTATTATGTTTTAAAATTTGAGTGTAGGATGTCTGAGAGTCGATATACATATTTACTAAAGCGGTCGTAAAGACACAACTGAATATAAATTGACTAATTTCCTTAATAAAAAGTGGAATTCTTTGATAAAAAATTCGTGTCCTGATAAATTCCCCTAATTTATATTTGGAATCCTCTAAATAATATACCTAACTGAAGAAATTGAAAGCTAACGGTTCTGAAACGATATATGTAGTAAAAATACCTTTATATTAGGTCATAGAATTTTAGATTAGGTACCTAGTAAAATCTTTATATTTTAGCATGGTTAAGTGATATTGTAAATTTGTAATATTGATTAAAAGCAGTAATAGTTTCTTAATTAGTGAACACGTACACGTGAAAAAATTTAATTCAATTTTTTTCACACACGCAGTAACTCTATTTATTCCAAAAACGATTCGTTAGAATTGAAATCACAAAAACAACGGCAATTTTTTTAACTGACGTTAAGATTTAAATCAGTGCCAATTCGTGCGTAAAATGTTAATCATTTCTATAGAAATTATTACTGCGTCGACTAAGCGCTTCGTGCACTATTCAATAGAATATTATATCTAAATTAAATAAATAAAAACATTTGTTCCCCGCAACACTCTAGCGCCTTGATAGCCCAAAAAGAGTATTTCTTGAGCATGGTCGCGTAACATTTGTTCACTCCAAAATATTGAATCATGTTCTGTGACTTATTACAAAAAAACTCTGAAGTTTTCTGAGTTATGCAGGGATTATACCTGGTGTTTCTCTAACGTGACTCACTCCTATAACTTTTTAACATTTTTAGATAAATAAACGAGAATTGATACGGTAGTATATGACAAATCAGGATTGATCGACGTATTCAATTGTTTTCGGTCACTTCCTGTTTCAACGGAAATGACTAGAACTTTTGATTTTTAAATGGCACCCAACGGTATATTTTTATACCAACGTATTTTTTTACTCTATTCGATAGAAAATGACTCTCTGAACGCTGAATAGAAAGACATATCATATATGACAACTTTTGACATTCTTGCTTTAACAAATTTGAATTTTATTTCAATTTAGAGCAGGCTCTGTTAGAGTAGAGGCTGTGTTAAAAATAATCATTTTTAATCAAGGAGCCTTGGAACTATAGATTTAATAGTCTAATGTTTTAGTGTCTTATCCTGGCCGGTTAAGAAAAAAAAAACATTTTTTTCGAATAATTTGCTACCACACACTTGGTATTTACCTACTAAATTAAAATTTAAAATGCTATTTTTTTAATTGAAAATGTTAGAAGTTCACACATAATATGTCATTCATGTATGTCAATGCTCAGAATACAAATTTCTGTCAAATGAAGTAAAAAAATAGCAAGGGTATCATTTAAAAATCAAAAGTTGTAAACAGGAAGTGAACGAAAACAATTGAATATCCCAATCAATCCTAATTTATGTCTTATACTAACTTATACCAAATATATAGAGTTTGTTCGTTTTCACAAAGTGGTGGCCCGTGGTAAAAAACTTAATGTTAAAATCAAAAACAAAGTCCAAACTGTCAAAAAATTCTTTATTAGTGACCGGTTTCGGAAATTACAGCCATCAGACCTTTGTCATATACAGCTGTTCGTTTGACTTGACTTTATACCGTATGATCGAAAAAAAAATGGCGCCAGCGATGGCTATGAAATGAAGATGACTATCATTTTATATAGCGAAATTAAAACAACTTTGGGTGCACGTCATCAATGACACCATGCGCCGTCTTATGGAATTTGCTGGTGGTCGTATTATGATGTGCAACCAAAGTTATTTTAAATTCCCTAATGTAAATTTATATGGGAAATGTCATCGATCGTCATTTTCCAGCTAACTCGACGCCATTTTTTTTTCGATCATATGGTATATATAAATGTATAGATATATAAAGTCAAACGAACAGCTGTTTATAACAAGTTTTATCCCAAATTTGTTTTTTTTGTCTGAAAAAGTTAAAAGGGGTGGGCCATTTTTGTTTAGATAAATAAAACGAACACCCGATCTATAGCTTGTTTAATATATGTCTGTATTATATTGTGACTTATTCTAAATCACCTAAAATAATTTCAAATAACGTGTAATCCTAATCTGAATATTAAGACCTCGATGTACTAATGACGTTAATACTTTCTTGTTCCTTAAGTTGTGGGACGTAAAAGAAGCAACAAATTAAAGAAATAAATAGTGGAAAAACCCGTGAGTAATTGAACAAATTCTTTACTCAATAAAAGTGGATTTCTTTGATAGAGATTATCGCTCACCGACGGAATTCCTCCCGTGTTTCTCCGATTTTCTCCCGCAATAATATTTCCAACGCAATTGATGTCTAACGGTTTCTAAATATTGTAATAAAAAACGACGCCGCACGGTCCAGTTTATAGCCGGTTTAAGTTCTTTATATGGCAATAAAAATGGTTTGAAGTATATTTTCGGCCTTTACTAACGTACACTTACGTGAATTGTGGCTAATGGCCCAACAGTTTGAAGCCTTACCGCTAAATTTAGTAGCAGAATTTTGTAAAATATGCTCTTTATTAAAATTTATTACACACTAGGTAGTAGGTACTTTACTATTAAGGCGGATTCGTCATTACTTTTACCGAAATTTGCTAATTTTTTAACTAACTGATGTTTCTTTCTTTTTCAGGACGCGCCATGAAGGCGTGGACTCTCCTCTTAGAGCCAGGACCGGCTTTAGTCTCTGTCTATCTCATTTTAGCTGTTTCGGTGCAAATTAATGCTGGTAAGTAATTAAATTTTACTTTTAATAATGCAAGTAACAAAGTAATTTAAACCCATTAAAAATACACCATCTTTACAAAAGAAAATTATGCTCTTTGACCATGATATCCCATAAAAGTCTATAATATTTAAGAATAAGAATCAATAATAGACGATGGAAAGATTAATGATCAAGTAATGTAAATCAAACAGCACCCAGTTTCTTCAATCAAGGAAAAATGGCTAAGAAATAGTTAGGTTAGGTTGCTGGGGTTTGGGATCATGTTTGATCCCACACTCGGAGGCCCATTGCGATACCCCTATATTGTTGTACCATACCTTCTTCTCATTCTTTCTTTGCGTTAAAGCACTTCTAGCTCTTTGCAAAGTTCCCGATGTCGCTGATGTTGGCTTCTGCTGCTTCCTCTAGTCCCTCCAAAAAACCTTGCCCTAAAATTTTAAAGCGTCGGTATTCCAGTGCTTGACAGTGGCACAGCAGGTGCTCTATGGTTTCTTCTTCCTCTCCGCATTCTCTGCAGTAGTCGTCGTTGGAAATTTTCCTGTTCACGAGGTTTACCCCCGTGGGACAGTTTCCTGTGACGACAATTATTATTAAGAAATACTATAATCGAAAAAACGGTATTTAGAGTAAGCTTGGAAATGAAGATCGATCCATTTTATATGTTAAATGATGAAGAGTATGACCAAGTCTTTTTTTTTCAAGGGATGATTCCTTAGTACGAGCCTTCAAGTTTCCAAATTTTGGTAGCATAAAAGAAAAGCCCTAATATCTTGAATTTCATCATAATATTTCTAAAATTTAAAATTATTGCCAATCCGAATTTTGGTTGTTTTTATTGACGGAAATTAATATTTATATATATTTTCTCTACACCAAAATGATTTAACTTGAAAATTTTAAAAAATAAAACCAGCATTTTGAAAATGTCAAGAAAAATATAAAAATTTCAACATTTTTTTTTGCAAAATAAACTCATGGGCATGTTCATGGGGGTTCGAACTATTCTGCCAATTGAAATACTTTTTTTCTAACCTAGTCCGATAACATGAATAATAAAATACTTGATGTATTCGTTTAAACGAAATTTGCAAGTTGCTGCATAGGTGGAAGATAAAACGAAGTGCTGGCGATTTATCTACCTACCAACTTCTTCTCAATCAAAAATACCTCTTTAGTGAACGTTCCATTATAATGATTTTCCTCAAAATACACGGTTGCTACATATTATAAACAGAGTGATATCTTTCAAAGTATTAAATTACAACTGCTACACAACCAGAAAAATTATTGCGCAGTAATATATAGATATAAAACCATTGGCACCATTGCTATTCTCTCACGACATCCATCACACCGAATAGCTTTTTTATGATGTATTTTTGTAATATCGCTTGAAGAATTACCACTATCTAATTAAATCTCATATATTTCTGCCAGTTTTTCACCGACAGCTGTCGACACTAAAAATCAGAAAAACACAATTTCATTTAGCAACATACGTCATTTTAGACGTCACCGAGCCGTTCATTTAACGCTGCAAAATGTAATATAGCTTATAGCGTTGGCATTACTGGATGAATAACCAATAGAGCGTTACGCATGTGGTGAATGTCAATAACAAATTGTTTCGAGAATCGAGCGCGCATAATGCCTCCATTGATGGATGGATTCATTCAAGCCGGGTTTTTGCGAATATCGCGGCCTCGCGCATTTTTATTACATGTATTATTTATATGAGACAGTTCGCTGTTGGCATGGGACTTCGATTCACCAGCTACCTACATTCAATAGCGTTTTATCTTCGAGTTTATCGTTCCCACATTAGATCATGGAAAATTAGCAAAAAGCTCTATATACATTAATTCACCTTTATATTCCTAACTTGGGATACATTGATGGATGCTGAAATGAAAATGGCAGATCATTGTATTGATGAATACGTGGAAACAAACGGTCGTATTAAATGGTGGATATTCAAAGATAATTATTGAATATGTTTTAAATAAGCTCAGATGGATATTTAATACCCAGGAAAATATATTTGCATATTTCCGAATATTGAGGTAAGTCTCATCAACTGGGCATAAAATAACCCTTCTGTCTCTGGAACTTCGCACTACTTCCCCATTTACGTATGGATATTTGACACAAACAAGAAACAAGTATTGGCAAAAAAACCTTCTTACCACCAACAATCTAGCTGGATATTTTTTATTCATGATTTCAAGGAACCTGCGACTTGTAAGGTCTATTGTGTTTGTCTTCTTTCTATGTACTGCACCCATTACCACATCCTTGTGACCTTCCTTACCAGGTCCTTGATAGAATGGGAGCATAATTCCTCCGGCTATAGCCTTACTTCCCCAAATAGAAAATGTCGCTTACGGTCCAAAGCTTCACACTGGTATATTATGTATTTTGCTGTTTCAGGATCGTTATCCTTGAGTTGGTTGTGATTCCCTTCCTTAATACAGCTTCAACTGATTCAAATAGCACTTAACACCTATATGTCCTGTTAAGAGACCTATGTTCCATACTTTTATAGCTGAGTGTACTAAAAAAACGGTACTCCAATCATATTTCAATTGTGGTCTACAGAATTATTGAATAATAATATAAAATGTTTAATAAAGAATCTAAATTTAAATCAAAAACAAATTCAACAAATCACAAAATTAAAATACATTTTTTTATTTACTGATTTGCTGTAAAAGCAACATTATAGATATGTAGAAATATACACTACTCAAAACAATTATCGCACATTTGAATAAAAGTAATTATTATGTATTTCTAAATGAAGCATGCATTTTTCTGCCTTTCTCGTCTGAGTTTTTTTAGGATAATTAGGGTACGCACTGACATGTAATTTTTAGTCGGCCGACTATTTAGCTGCAAAAGTGAAATCAATACATTTTTATGGAGGCCCAATATTTTATGCGCTGACAGACAATTTTTAATCGGCCGACTATTTAGTTGCATATTTGTAACCAGTATGTCCTTATGGAGCCGCGCTAACATGCAATCAAATAGTCATAAGTATGTACCTATTGTTTTCACTTTTGCAGCTAAATAGTCGGCCGACTAAAAGTTACAGGTCAGCGCTTAGGCGTATTGTATCGAATTTCCCTTCACAGTATCCGTACTATTTAAAATCGTAAGTCAGGTAATTCTGTCTTAATTCATGATCTTGTTTTTCAAATTAATTTTTTTTTAGAAAATATGCCATAAGTGTTTTGAGTAGTATATTTTGTGATATTTAGCAGGGTTTATTATATTTTCTATTATTAAGGGTTTATTTATATTTAGCATTTGTTTATAAATTACAATATAAATAGTGAATCAGAATAAGAATGTAAAATTAACATAAGCCAGTGAACTTCTATTTCTGATTTATATCTCTGTTGTAAATATTACTTTAAATTATTAGTTACTGTGTGTTGAATATTACATCATGTATTTTATTATATAAATGTCAGCGCCTCAATGATATAAATCTTAAATTAAATTCCGGCAGTAAAGAATAAACAACTCTATTTTCCCTCTGTAAGATAGGTACTAATTATTGGAACACTAATATAACTTTTAATTAAGTGGGAATTCTGCTCAAAAAGTACAACTATTTAATTGTGACCGCAGGCCTCTCGTGTCAATCACATCTTTGCTTCTATTATTGCAGAATATTTTGGTATAATAAAAAATATTGTGATGTACATGTACTAATTATATTCTTAAATAAAGTCAGTTGGTTCTTTTGTGTTAAAGTTAATTTTTTAAAGATAATTAATTAAAAAAATAATGGATTAATTAATGGCTATTTTTTATTATTATATTATACGTTTTATAATGTTCTATAGATAAAACTAGACAATTACTTTTTATCCTTACTTTTTTTTATTTTTAATACGTTGATAAAGTCCATATAAATAAAATCGTATTGTTGTCCACAATAATGTCCCCGATGACACCAATATTGGTGCTCTCACTACTAATTAGTAGTATTAATTGTTGGTATTTTCACAAGTGGATTTACTTGAGACAGGGATAAGATTGTTAAAAAAAAGTCTTTCCCTGCAGATCTCTTTTTTCATTGAAGTTCTGTGTGAATAACCTGGATTTTTGACGGTTTGGTGTTTTGTTTGATTTGGATCAGACCTGGACTGTAATTAAATCTCATCTTAATTAAATGTGGTGACTAATAGATATGCCTGGTTATAGTTTCAAGGTTTAGGTTAGTTTACATTGGATACTAAGCAGCAGAGATACATCCTACAATGAAAAAATAAGAATATGATCATTTAATAATTCCTTTAATACAGCAATAAACTGATCAACTTCAGAGTTATCTGTATGAAATTAAAGAAAACTATTATTTTGGCATAAAAATGGACACCTACACTACATAAAGGGGTATATTAGAAACCATGTTTACTACTTACTAAGAGTTCAAACTCCTCTTGACTAACCAACCTTTTTTATATTCAAAGAAACAAAAATGCCATTTCTTATTGAAAATCTTGTTGAAAATCGAAATTAATCATTCTTCGGCAGATGACTAAAAAAAATCGTTTAAAATAGTCGTAAAGTATAGTTCTCTACGGCATTACCATAATGATATAACATTGCTCATAAATTAAATGTGTCGGTTTGAGGTTTTTGTGGTTTCCATGGTTAGGCATACTTCACGATAAACCACAACCAAAACACAAGTAACAAGATGTTTACCAAGAAAATTCTAATTCTTAAAATAATACACCAAATTGACCAGATAAAGCTTTGAAAACGTTGAAGACAAAATATTTTATTTGTCAAAAATTGTGCTTTTAATTACATCCATCGGAACTCTGATTTGTTAAAGTAAAAGTATTTTGTTTACGCTGAATCCGAACAGCGGTCCTCGGCTATATCATTGTCAATGGCCTACCAACTTGAGGAATGTCTAAATCCACACTTATTCACGAGATATTCAATCTCCTCCGGCCTCGAACTTACGTGAATGA